GCCCTGAATTTGGACTTCTAGCCTACTTTACTGTAAGGAAATAAACTTCTCTTTGTTAAAGCCATCCACTTGTGGTATTTCTGTTGTAGCAGCACTAGATGACTAAGACACTCATGTAAATGGGTAGTTAGCATTTCCAGTGCTCTTCGTTCCTTTGTGTAGATCCAGATTTCCATCTGGGATTATTTTCATTCTGCCTGGACATTTCTTTGCAGTGCGGGTCCATCATGATGAGTTCTTTCAGCTTTTATATGTCTGAAACATCTTTATTGTGCCTTCTTGTCTGAAAAATTTTTGCTGGATATAGAATTCTAGGTTGATAGTTTTTTTCTTTTTAGTACTTTAAAGATGTTGCTCCACTGGCTTTTCACTTTTCTTCTTTCTAATAGGAAATCTCCTCTCCCTTATCTTTGTTTTTCTGTATGTAGTATGGCTTTTTTCTCTGGTTGCTTTTAAGATTTTCTCTTTATCATTGCTTTGAACAGCTTTATTATAATATACTGTGCTGTAATTTTATGTTCATTGTGCTTGGGATTTGTTGAGATTCTTGGATCTATGGGTTTTAGTTTTCATCAAGTTTGGAAAATATTATTTCGTCAAATATTTTTTCTGCCCCCATCCTCCAATTACATGTATATTTGACCACTTGAAATTATTCCACAGTTCACTGATGCTCTTTTTATTTTTTTTAAAATTGTTTGTTCTCTTTGTGTTTCATTTTGGATAGTTTTGATGGCTATGTCTTCAAATTCATTAAACTTTTTTTTTTTACAATGTCTAATCAGCTGATAATCTTACCCAGTGTATTTTTCATCTCAGATGTAGTTTTCATCTCTAAAGAGGTTTGATTTGAGTCTTTTTTATATCTTCTGTATCTCTCCTTAACCTTTTCTACGTTTGAAATATATATATAGTACATATCATTCTGCAACTTATTTTATTCATCTGTGTGTTTTTTGTGATGTCTCCTTATCAATACATGAGTTAGATATCTAATTCATTTATTTAATTCTAAATAAGCATAGCCTCTATCCCATGACTATGCCACATTCTACCTGTCTTCTGTGGATAGACATTTCTGTTTATAATTGTGTTGCTATTATAATCAATGCCAGCATAAATATTCTTGTACATGTCTCCTTGTGGACATGTGCAGAATAGTATGATTCGGTGTATATTTAGAAATTTCTCCACTAGAAAATCCCAATGCCTAGGAACATGATTGCTCTATAACTATTTAGTGAATGAATTAAACAGCAGGAACAACAACACATCCAGTTAACTGCTATTCATAAGAAACACACCCAAATCTATGTTCAAGAAACTATGCAAGGTGCTTTTTCAAGTTGGAGCCTGTTTTATTCAGTTTTTCTTTTCTGAATGTAAAGGACCATTTTGCTGTGTAAGATTTGGATAGTATCTCAATCTAGCTTTAGTCTTTCTGATTTCTCTTCTGACGGATTACTGCCGTATTTTTCACATGTCCTTGGTTTTGTGCCTTTCATTTCATCATTTAGTTATCCTGATTCTAGAAGTGAGAACTGTGTATACATATATAACAATCCCTGGGTGGTGCAGGCAGGTAACACACTTGACTGCTAACTGAAATGTTGGTGTTTGAGTCCACCCAGAGGCACCTTGGAAAAAAGGCCTGGTGACATACTTCTGAAAAATCAGCCATTGAAACCTTACGGAGCTCGATTCTACTCTGACACACATGGGTTTACCATGAGTTGGAGTCAACTTGATGGCAAATGGTTTTGTGGTTTTATACATAATATAATTTTGAATAATATGTAAAAATGCAAAGAAGTAAATAAAAAAAACATGAACCCCACCACTCATGTATTCTGAGGTCGATAATGACTTCTCTTGGGGAGGCAGCATGATAGAGGAAAGAAGATAGACTTTAGAGACAAACTTGGTTTTCTGTCCCATATTTGCCATTTACTAGCTGTGTGACTTTGGGCAGATTATTTAGTCTAAAGTTTGGTTTCCTCGTCTGCCAAATGAGACTAATAATACCTGCAAAGTAAGGTGTTTGTGAGGATTTGTAAGTACCTGGTAAATTGTAAATGCTTGGCCATTGTAAGCTCGCCAATGCTTTACTTCCTTAGATGCTTCTGATTTGTAAAATTCCCTACGTTTTATTTTAGATTGTTCAGTACATAGAATCTGATTTTCTTATAAGGTTTTATTTCCTTCATGAGTCATTCTCTTTTATTCTTAATCCACAGGGAATATCTGACTTTTATCTGAATCTTAGGAAGTTTTAAGAAATATTTGGATCATGTGTTCCATTTTGTCTGGTATTCTGTGGTTTTACTAATACGGATTCCAGAATAACCCAGTTACTTTGTCCCAATATTTCTTTCCTTCTGCACTGTCAGATATTACTTCCTTATTGGTTGGAATAGCAGGTCTCCTCATGCTTCTTCAGTGGGGAAGAAGTAATACTGTATATGTTTATTACAGAAAATTGGGAAACTACAGAAAAGTTAAAAAAAAAAAAAAGTTATAAAACCTGTTGCTGTTGAGTCGATTCTGACTTATAGAGGCCATATAGAACAGAATAGAATTGCCCCATAGGGCTTCCAAGGACCCGCTGGTGGATTCGAATTGCCGACCTTTTGGTTGGCAGCCGAACTCTAAACTACTACGCCACCAGGGCTTTAAAAGTAAAAAGAACATTTAAAATTCTGTAGAGTTTTAGTATACTATAATGATTGTGAGGATGGCACAGGACCGGGCAGCGTTTCGTTCTGTTGTACATAAGGTTGCTATGAGTTGGAACCAACTCGATGGCACCCAATAACAACAACAACAGCAACAGTATGCTGTTAATACACTAGAATAATGTTTCTTCTTTTTATGTTAATGTTTAATAATACATGTGGATCTGTTGTTCATGATATATCTATGTTTTGAGAGGCAAAAGTATCAATAAAATTTGACAAATTTTCTGTGTCCTAAAAATAGTACTTGGGAAGTTCAGGGTTTGAGATCTCTGCACTCACTCACATTTTGTTTCATCTAAAATAAAGTGTGGTATGACAGGAAAATCTCATTCTCATACTTTTTGGCCATATTGACTTTGGTCTTGAGAATTGCTTAAGGTAAACTTGCTTTTTCTAACATCTAAAAATATTTTTTATCATGTGAATCTTCATCTTACTGTTTATTATTTTCAATATATTTATTTGAAGCTTTTTAATAAATTATACCTTTTTCTTTCAGAGTTTTCTTTCTTTGATCCTAGCGATGCATCGTGCCAGGAAATTCTCTTTGATCCCAAAACTTCAGTGTCAGAATTATTTGCCATTTTAAGACAGTGGGTTCCTCAGGTCCAGCAGAACATTGACATTATTGGAAATGAGGTAAGGGACTCTTAAATCTGAAGATTTGCATGATTAGGATTGTTAATGGTATAGAATTGTTTTTCCCTGTCTTAATGGACAGATGGTGATTGAAGGAGAGACACTTCTAAGATTCCGATGTTTGTTCTTTGTATTTCCAGGTTTTCATGAGTAGTGAGGTGGTACTGCCCACTCTTCCCATCATTCCTTCGTACACCTTACTTTCTTAACACCTTTGAGTTTTGATGTTATAGACTCTTGGTGGAAGGAGGAGAGGCGTTTTTCTTATTTCTTTCTATAGAAATTAATTTTGCAGAAATTTTTGATGCATTTCATTAAGGGATTTGATTAACATCCTGTTTTAGCTGCACATTTGGGTAGTTTGGCAATGATGTAGGCTTAAATATAATTTTTTTAAAAAAATTCGATTTTTCGAGGGGGAATGAAAAAAATGAGTGGATTCTTTCACCAGCATGTTTTGTAAGAAGAGATAGCTTATACTTTTTTCAAATACCATTTACAAAACATGACATGGGGCACTGTCCGACCTCCTTGTCCAGCCTCACTTGGGGAAGAGAGAATCACCATCAGCATCAGCCCAAGGCAGATTCCTATGAGGTAGAGGTCAGACATACCTCTTCTCTCCAACCTTTTTACCACTTCTGACACCGGCCATCCCTCCCACGGCGCTCTACTTCTCTGCTGGATGCGATAATTCGTTGTAATTACCACACAGAACTCACAGACCACACTCTGTGATTATTAGGTTCATTAGGGAAGTAACAGGTTACAATTCAGGATCAGGAACGACTCAGGATACAGTTCTTCAATCACTACAGCCTCTTCTCAGCCATGTCCACGGGCAGGCCTCTCTCTGACCCTTGGCCTTTTGGCCTCTCAGCCCCTCAGCCTCCAGAGCTCCTCAGCCCAGCCTCTGCCCTGCTCGGACAAGTGAAACAAAGCTCTTTAGCTCTGCCACTAGGTACGCAGAGGCACCCCACTCTGCCAGTAAGCATTGGCCTGAAGGCACTCAGCTCTCTTGCTCTGTGGGTTGGCATGCCAACTGTAGCCACCTTGCCCCATGGGCAAGGAAGCCCACTGTGCTGTCTCATGCCCATCTCCTGGTTTTGCAGCCACCATTTTTCTGCTGCTGATTCTCACTGTCTTGTGCTGTCTCCAGTGTTACAGCTCTCTCTCTGTCTCTGTGTCCCCTGGGTCTGGGAGGTTCCCCATGTAGGGACCCCAGGTCCCAAGGAATCACTCTGCTCCCATCTCTTCTTGGTGGTAGTGATGTCCTGTCTTTCTGCCTCTGGAATGGCTCATTGTAAGCCAAGTGGGATGGCAAAACTGACCAATCCTCTGGTTAGGGTTCCATACAACTTATTTGCATGATCCCACTTCCATAAGGGTGCCATGTACTTTATTTGCATTATTAGCAAGCTGTCCAGTCCCCTTGGTGGGCCATTTACATAGTCCTTCCCAATCATTATGTGGGGAGTTACAAGACCAGGCATGGCTAAAAGGGTCATATTAAGTAATTCACCGCACTGCACCACACCATTACACCCATTAGAAAGAAAAATTTACTTATTCTTTAAGAGAGTTAAGGGACATATTTGGGTGCCAGATTACCTTGAAGTACTCTTTAAGTGACAGGTTAAATTTTCATTATTGTTGCTGGGTACAGATTTAAAATTTACCCTTAAGAGAAGCCAATTCTATCTATACATTTTACTGAGAACTAATTCAGATATGATGGACTAAGTTTGTTCCTCAGCATTGATTGGAAATCAGTTGATACTTCAGTAGTCACATTGTACTCATGTTTTCCTTGGTTTCCTCAGATTCTTAAGAGAGGTTGCAATGTAAACGACAGAGATGGACTGACAGATATGACCCTTTTACATTATACCTGCAAATCTGGAGCCCATGGTATTGGTAAGTCGTTACTAATTCTGTTGTTAGGTAATATATATTTGTGCTTATATAATCTATATTTATGCCAGTCAGAGGGCTATAATTCCCTTCCCTCAAGCCACTAGGAGAGCATCCAACTGCTGATAATATTGTCTGAATAGATGAGGATTCACTTAAGTCCTTCCAAAAACCTTGTTCCCTTCCCTACCTTCTCTCAGGGGGATCTTTTTTTTTTTTTTTTTTAATTGTTGTGCTTTAAGTGAAAGTTTACAATTCAAGTTAGTCTCTCATACAAAAATTTATACATATATTGTTATGACCCTAGTTGCCCTCCCTATACTGTGACAGCACGCCCTCCCTTCCACCCCAGATTTCCTGTGTCCATTAAACCAGCTCCTGACCCTCTCTGCTTTCTCACTTTGCTTCTGGACAGGAGCTGCCCATTTAGTCTCATGTATCCACTTGAGCTAAGAAGCACACTCTTCACGAGTGTTATTTTATGTCCCGTGGTCCAGTCTAATCTCTGTCTGAAGAACTGGCCTCGGGAATGGATTTAGTTTTGGGCTAACAGAGAGTCCAGGGGCCATTTCTTCCGAGGTCGTTCTAGTCTCAGTCAAACCATTAAGTCTGGTCTTTTTACTAGAATATGAGTCGTGCACCCCAATTTTCTCTGGCTCCATCAGGGACTTTCTGTTGTGTTCTGTGTCAGGGCAGTCATTGGTGGTAGCAGGGCACCATCGAGTTCTTCTGGTCTGAGGCTGATGAAGTCTCTGTTTTATATGGCCCTTTCTGTCTCTTGGGCTAATACTTTCCTTGTGTCTTCGGTGTTCTTCATTCTCCTTTGCTTCAGGTGGGTTGGGACCAATTGATGCATCTTAGATGGCTGCTTGCTAGCTTTTAAGACTCTCAAGGGGATCTTTATACCTTCTTAGCACCTCCAACTTTTCTGGAACAGGCTATATACCTGTTTGCTTAGTAGGTGAGGGCAACTGGTAACACCCTGGAACCTTCCTGAGGGTTGACAGCAAGGGTGTGACAGTCCAAGGTCAGTTTTCCAAGTTTGCCATTCCTTAGCAGGCCCCAGTCTGTAGGCCTGTCGACTCTATTGCTACATATACAACATATGTGCGTATTTTCCAAAATTGGTATCCTCCTCTGCTATACCATTTTATAAACCTGTGTCTCTTATTCAGCTATATGTTGGGAACATCTCTTCCTGTTTCGGCCATCTGATACAGTGCTTCTCAAACTATTGGTGGTGAGGGACCTTTTCCCCTCAGTACATCACAGACTGATGTTTTTGTAAAACTAAAAAAAAAAAAAAAGACATATAAAATGCAAGCCCAAACACTATTCAGAAGAAATAAATTACATTTGAATTAATATAATCAGAAGAAACATTACATAGGGAAAAAAAGAAAATAATTACAAGAAGTATAAACAGAAATTACAGCGTGGGGGCTGGCAATGGTCTGTTAAGTAGCAATAGTCTAGTACATTGTTTGTAATGGCTGCATAGGATTCCATTATATGGGTGTATCAATTTATTTAACCTATTTCTTCTTGTACTTTTAGATTGTTTCAGAATTATATTCATAATCAACAGTGCTGTGACGGGTATCTTTATAGCAAAGTATTTATCCACATCCCTGAGTATGATTATTTTAGAATAAATTTCTGAAAGTAAAATTTTTGAGGAGTAAGTGTATATTCAGTATGCCATCTGCCTTAGTCTTTTAAATGAGGTAGTAAATAGCCATCCATTGGAACTTAAAATTTGTATTGAAGATTAAAAGAAAAATAATTTAGCAAATCTTCTTTAGGTGATGTTGAGACAGCTGTGAAATTTGCAACTCAACTTATGGATCTGGGAGCAGATGCTAGTTTGCGGAGTCGCTGGACAAACATGAATGCTTTGCATTATGCTGCTTATTTTGATGTCCCGGAACTTGTAAAAGTCATTTTGAAGACATCTAAACCAAAAGGCAAGTAGTATAAGGTCACCATTACATGCTGTTATGGATTGAATTATGTCCCCCCAAAATGTGTGTCAACTTGGCTAGGCCTTGATTCCTAATATTGCATGATTATCCACCATTTTGTCATCAGATGTGATTTTCCTATGTGTTGTAAATCCTACCTCTATGATGTTAATGAGGCAGGATTAGAAGCAGTTATATTAATGAGGCAAGACTCAATCTACAAGATTACGTTGTATCTTAAGTCAGTTTCTTTTGAGATACGAAAGAGAGAAGGGAGCAGAGAGACGGGGGACCTCCTACCACTGAGAATGAAGAACCAGGAGGGGAGTGCGTCCTTTGGACCTAGGGTTCCTGTGCTGAGAAGCTCCTAGACCAAGGAAAGATTGATGACAAGGATCTTCCTCCAGAGCCAAGAAAGAGAGAAAGCCTTCCCCCTGGAGCTAGCACCCTGAAATTGAACTTATAGCCTCCTAGACTGTGAGAGAATAAATTTCTGTTTGTTAAAGCCAACCACTCGTGGTATTTCTGTTATAGCAGCACTAGATAACTAAGACAGATGCTATTAATTGAAAACTTTTTTAATGTCATAAAAATTTTAATTCAAGGAGATTTTTATTCCTGCTCCATCTTGTTCCATATGGTCTCCTATCCCATTTTTTTCTAAAATTTTTTAATTGAATAATTAATAGTCTATTACAAAAGACTAAGTACAAAGAGATACAAAGGAAGAGTATTCCTCAAGATAACATGGATTTTATAAATATGAAATTGAATCCATGTGCTATATAATTCTTTTGTGTTGCTTAGGTGGCCAGGGATAGAGGAAAGAAAGCCTTCAGAAGTAGACATTCAGATAATAAATGATATTTATTTTAGATGGCATTCAGTTTTGAAATTCCATGATTCTACTCAACAAAATTTCAGGCCCTCCTCCCCCACTTTGATGGAATATACTGAAATATAACATTGGAATGTCTAAATTATAGTCTTAATATTTTGTCTTTTTCTCTGGTCCTTTCATTGGGTCAGTTTTCTTTTGAGAAAAAAATGAGAGCAAGTGCAATACTTCAAGACGGTATACAATACTGTCTTAGTTGTCTAGTGCTACAATAACAGAAATACCACAAGTGGATGGCTTTAACAAACAGATTTATTCTCTCACAGTCTAGTAGTTCAGAAGTCCGAATTCAGGGCGCCAGCTCCAGGGGGAAGGCTTTCTCTGTCTCTTGGCTCTGGAGGAAGATCCTTATCATCAGTCTTTCCCTGGTCTAGGAGCTTCTCAGCACAGGTACCCTGGTTCTAAAGGACACACACGCTCCTGGCTCTTTTTGCTTTGTGGTATGAAGTCCCCCTCTGCCAAATATGTATTGTAAATCCTAATCTCTATGTCTGTGGTTATAATCTCATTTGGGAATGAGTTGCCTTTGCTATGTTAATGAGACAGGATTAGTGTAGGGTATGTCTTGAGTCAATCTCTTTTGAGATATAAAAGAGATTAAACAAGCAAGCTAGGAAGCAGAGATGGGGGAAGGAAGTTGCCAACTCACATAAAGATCACCCAGGAACAGACGCTTAGAAGAGACAAAGACTTTCCTCCAGAGCCGATAGAGGAGAAAGCCTTCTCCTGGAGCTTGTGCCCTGAATTCAGACTTCTAGACTACTACTAGACTGTGAGAGAATAAATCTCTGTTTGTTAAAGCCATCCACTTGTGGCATTTCTGTTACAGAAGCACTAGATAACTAAGAGTTTGGCACCAGGAGCGGGGTGCTGCTCTAACAGATACCTAAAATGTGGAAGTGGTTTTGGAACTGTGAATGAGTAGAGGCTGTAAGTGCCTAATAGTAAAAGCCTAGGTCACCTTAAACAGAATGTTGGTGGAATTATGGACATCAAAGACAATTCTGATGAGGTCTCAGAAGGAAGTGAGGAGAGCTGTTACACTGGAGATGGTGCAGACAGCGAGAAGCAGTAGCAGAGAAACAGCAGCAGTAGAACCAGGAGTCCAGCTTGAGACAGTGCTGGAGCTGACCCATGGAGCAAGAGAGCTGAGTACCTTTGCACAGGAGGCTTTCTGGCAGAGTGGGGTGCCTCCAGGCACTTATTGGTGGAGCTGAAGAGCTTTGGAACACTTGTACCAGCAGGGCAGACGTGGGCAATGAGGCCTGAGGGGCTGAGAGGCCAAGGAATAAGGAAGCAGAAGCTGAAGAGACAAGAAACACAGGAAGCAGGGCTGCCACAGTAGGGCCACGACCTCTGGGGTCTCAAAGGGTGGAGCCATGGCCTCTGGGGTTTCAAAGAGTCAGATCTTCACCAGTTTGATTCTGGAGTGTGGGGCTGCCATTCAAGTATCAGCAGATGGGGCCATATCCACTGCCCAAAGCTAAGGGAGCAGGGCTGCCATGCCCAAGAGGCAGAGGAACAGGGCCTGCCGGGGCCAAGGGGAAAGGGTTGCCACTCAGATGGACTAGGAGAATGGGGCTGCCCAAATGAGAGGGAGCAGAGTTGCTGCCCTAGTAGGCCTGTAAGGTGGAGCTGAAGCCTAGGGCCGAGGGACCTCCACCCAGAATCCAGAGAATGTGACCAACACCCAGAGTCTGGAGGGCAGGGCCATTGCCTAAATGGTGTCAGAGAACAGAGGATTATTTTCAAGACTTAAGAGCTAATTAAATGTGTTCTGCTGACTTGCTTGGTGCCTGTTAACCCTTTTTTCTCTTATTTCTCCCATTTGTAATGAAAATGTCTAGCTTGTGCCTTTTCCACCGTTGTACTTTGGAAGCAGGTAACTTGTATTCTAGATTTCACGGATGAAGAGGAATTTTTGGATTTTGGCCTTGGAGTTAATTTAAGACTTTCGCTATGATATGATGAGGTGAATGTGTTTTACATGTGGCAAGGACATGAATTTTTAGGGGCCAAAGGATGCAATGGAATGGATTGAATTGTGTCCTCAAAAATGTGTGTCAACTTGGCTAGGCCATGATTCCCAGTATTGTGTGATTGTCCACCATTTTCCATCTGATGTAATTTTCCTATGTGTTGTAAATCCCACCTCTGTGATGCTAATAAGGTAGGATTAGAGGCAGTTATGTTAATGTGGCAGTATTCAATCTACACGATTAGGTTGTATCTTGAGTCAATCTCTTTTGAGATATAAAAGAGGCTAGCAGACCTCATACCACCAAGTAAGAAGTGCCAAGAGCAGAGCGTGTCCTTTGGACCCGGGATCCCTGTGCTTAGAAGCTCCTAGACCAGGGGAAGATTGATGTCAAGGACCTTCCTCCAGACCCGACAGAGAGAGAAAGCCTTCCTTTGGAGCTGGCACCCTGAAATTGGACTTCTAGCCTCCTAGACTACGAGAGAATAAACTTCTATTTGTTAAAGCCATCCACTTGTGGTATTTCTGTTATAGCAGCACCAGCTAACTAAGATAAGTACTTTCCTCATTTGTAGAAGACACGTTTTAGAGATTCAGTAGATAAATTTCCTAGAATGTTTGTTTCTAACTTCTACTTTGAATGATTGCTCATTTTGTCTTTAAACTTTACCTTTTCTTTTTTTTTTGAATGATGTTAGGAAGGAAGCCTCTGTTGCTAGTAATAAGAGAGTTTGTCCTGAACATGTTGGAGGTAGGGCGTGTGAGGTTGTGTGGTTTAGATGAAGGTAAGGCTTTGAGAACCAGAGATGCATTAAACTCTTGTTATAGTAAGCATTCAAAATGCGATTCCCAAATCTGAAGTATTTCTGTGTTTAAGAATAGTGTAATAATGCTATTTTGAAAGTTATTGAAACATTCTTAGAATTGCAAGATTCCTTTATTATGAAGCCCCAGTTAATTTTTTGAATAGAGTATTATAAATCAGTATTATAAGTAGACGTTCTTATGTTTAATTAGTCTTTATCTGATTACTAGTTGGAAAATTCTGCAGCAAACTTTGTCTATAAAGGTCCAGCTAGTAAGTATTTTAGGCTTTGTGGGCTACGTGGTCTCTGTCACAGTGATGTGACGCCACTGTTGTAACACGGAAGTAGCCATAGAGACTATGTAGATGGGCAGGTGTGGATATGTTCCAATAAAACTATTTACAAAAACAGATGGTGGGTTGGATGTGGCCTGTGGGCCATAGTTTGCTGATCTCCGACCTAAACTTAACTACCTGGCTGTAGCTGTCAAGCAGATTACACAAGAGATTTAATGAGTGACTGCATTAAGATAGTTACTTTTTACAAATATGAATTATTGCTGTTATTGCTTTTAAATATGATAGTTGGAAAACCCATGATAATATTACTCCATTTTATAATAAAATTTTATTGTACAATTTAATTTATAGTTAACCAGATTGTAATGTGAAGATGTTGTTCCATTGTGAAATGATGCCTTGGGGGTTGGTTTAAGTCTCATAAATGGTTAAAAAAAAAATCTTTTCGCCCAAAAAACCCTCTCTCCTTTTAAATTATAATAGCTAAATTTAAATTTGTAATGAATACTCTTGTGATGTTGAATTGCAGATGTGGATGCTACTTGCAGTGACTTTAACTTTGGAACAGCTCTGCATATTGCAGCATATAATTTGTGTTCAGGTGCTGTGAAATGCTTATTGGAGCATGGAGCAAATCCCGCATTTAGGGTAAGAGGTTAAATTAAAAGTGAAAAAAATTTAAAAGTATTAAGGCTTATGTTATCTCTCGGTAAAGAGTTGAATCTGGATGTTGTTTTAATAGAACTCTCATATGAGCAAGTCATTTATATTTTTGTGCCACATGTAAATAGTAACAACGATAAACTATCTAAAATAAAGTTAAGGCATAACAGTGAATCTCAGTCCTTTTACATTGATAAGCTCTACAAAAATTACTTCCATTCAGGAAGATAAGATGCTCCCTAAATTGTCATAATCTTTGGGTTTTAATATCTTTCATTTCGGATTTTTTGATGTATTTATGAAAAGTTAGCTGTTAAAGTACACATACATAATATTTTTCTATTAACTGTTAAAGTGCACATATACATAATATTTTTCCATTAAATCATACTTTAAATTCTTTCAGAAAGAAATTGCATTCAGAAAGTTAAAAAATGCACATTTAAGAATGGAGTAAACCTTTCAAAATTAAATGTTTAAAGGAAAAATATTTTTTCACAGTAGTAGTGTCACTAATGTACAAAGTGAACACACAAGATTGAATTTCATAATCTTCAAATCCTTTGGCATTTTATTGACTTTGAGAAGGTAATTCTCACCTTTCTTTCCCTTGTATGAATGACTGTGACTCACTCTGGCAGAGATTCTTCCCTGGACCTGTGCGTTCCCATGAAGGGGTCAGGTGGGCAGAGGAGAGTGTAATGTTCGAAAAAGCTCCCCTGCCTTCTTACTTTCCTGTCCCCCTGCCCCTCTTTCCTGTTTTCCTTCTCTTCCTTTTTTCTTGGCCACTTTTCTTTCTGTTTCACCCCATCAGTTATCCCCAATTTTAATGTCCTTCCCACCAGAATATATGCTCTTTGAGGGCAGGACTTTTGTTGTCTTCACTGTGCTAGCTCTAGCACCTCAGAACTGTGTCTGGTATATAGCAGGTACTCAGTAAATATTTCTTTTTTACTGGTAAGATATATATGATAAAATATTTGCCATTTCAGCCATTTTCACATACATAATTCAGTACAGTAAATATTTTTGAATAAATAAATCATGAATGAATATAACTTAAAAATCCTCCAGAAATAATTTTCTTTGACTGCATAGAGGTCTGTATAAACATGAATTGAATTTTTTTTTTTTTTATTTGTAGAATGACAAGGGACAGATCCCTGCGGATGTTGTTCCAGACCCAGTAGATATGCCATTAGAAATGGCAGATGCAGCTGCAACTGCTAAAGAAATCAAGCAGATGCTGTTAGATGCAGTGCCTCTGTCATGTGCTATCTCAAAGGCGATGCTTCCAAATTATGATCATGTTACTGGCAGGGCACTGCTGACATCACTTGGCCTGAAGTTGGGGGATCGTGTTGTTATTGCAGGACAGAAGGTACAGTAAGTAGCTGCTGTCGCTTAAGCTAGCTCCATGGTCATTATGTCCATGGCCTCTGTGCTAAAGAATACATACAGTATGGCCAGAATTTTGATATTAAAAAAAAAAGAAAAAGAAAAAAGGTACATAGGTAGAAAGGGAGAAAGATATTTAATGGAAAATGTGAAACTTAGATTCAAGTTTACTGTGACGTATGATTTAAAAATTTAAACTATTTGAACTTAATGATGATGTCTTTTTTTTGAATGGGAAAAGAGTTCAGTATAATAGAACGTAGGGCACATTTAGAGGCAGGAGCTGTGAGGTGATCTAGCCTGAAGATGGCCCCTTGCAGCCGCCTCCGCTGGCTCCCAGTGGTGCTTCCCCCCATGACTGCTTCACAGAAACTGAGCAAAGGAGACCCTCACCATTCATGGGGTTTGGCTCCGAGGTCCCACAAGTAGGGAAATCTTAGATATTAGACTGATAATAAAAATTTATGTGGAAAAGATGACGCTTGCTTGCCCCTCGCTGGAAATGCTCCAGGCACCTCTTTTTTCCTAAAGCCTCAGTTTCCTTATGGCGTTCGTTTTCTGCCAGTGTCTTTGTTTATACCTTATATGGGACTCTTTTTTTAACAAAATTAATTTTGGAGTTAATAGGGAACTCATTCTGGAGAATGAAACAATTCCTGCTTGGATATTGAATTTCCTAACATAGGTACTTCTCAATATTTGGGTGGTTTTGTGGGGAGAGTCATATAAGTTTCTCAGAAAACTGCAATTTAGAGATTTGATTTATTGAGAAAATTGCATTAAAAATGAAACAAAACTACTACCAAACTATTCTTTTAACAGTAACATTTATCAGCTTCCAAAAGAATGCATTCATGGATATTCACTGTGGAGCTAAAACATCAAGAAATTATGAACGCATAGCGTTTTTCTTTTTTTAGCGTAGGATTAATACTCAGCTTCTGTAGTATTCCTGTACTGTGTCTGAAAGTGGACTTTGTAAAGAATTATTTTATTGTTTTTACTTTTTATTTTGGAAAATTTTAAGCTATATGAAAGTAGAGGAGTATAATGAATATGCCAGTCAACCTGCCTTAAGACTTATTGACTCATGGCCGATCTTGTTTCATTTCTGTTTTCTGCCAGCCTGTTGCTTGCCTTTTCATTCTCTTAACAGTGTCTTTCAAAGAGCTGACATTTTTTATTTTAATGAAGTGCAATTTTTCAACTTTTTTCTTTTATGGATTGTGCTCTTAGCATTATATATAAGTAATTGTCTGCTGTGTTTTCTCTTAGAAATCTTACAATGTTAAGTTTTACATTTGAGTTAACTTTTATATAGGGTACAAATATGACCCAGTTTTTTTCTTTTTTGCTTACAGTTACCTATTTATTCTACCACCATGTTTTGAAAAGACTATTCTTTTTCTGTTGAATTGTCCTTGTATCTTTGTAGAACATGTATTTCTGACTCTATTCTGTTCTATTTATTTGTATGACTAGTGAAGCCCTCTGGGCCTAGAGGTTTATTTATTATTTTTTAAAAGGTTTTTAACTACAAATTCAATTCAGGTTATCTTTTTTTTGAGTGAGCATTGAAAGTTTGTATCTTTAAAGGAATTGGAACATTTTGTCTCATTTGTCAAATTTATGGACCTAGAGTTGTTCGTAGTATTTCCTGTTACCCTTTTAATGATGGAGGATCCCTCTTTCATTCAGTGTTTGTAATTTATGTCTTCTCTCTATATTTCCTTAGTCAGTCCATTGAAAAATTTATCTATTTTACTGATCTTTCCAAAGAATTAACTTTTGATTTCATTGGTTTTTCTTTATTGTTTATCTGTTCTTAATTACTTTTATCTTATTTCCTTCCTTTTGCTTGCTTTGAGTCTTTGTTTCTAGTTTCTTAAGGTGGAAACTTAGATCTTATAGGCCAAACATTTCATTCTGTAAATTTCCCTCTAAGCACTGCTTTGCTGCATTCCACACATTTTCCTTTATCGTGTTATCGTTTTCATCAAATTCAGTATTTTCTAATTTCCCTTGTGATTTTCTCTTTTACCCATGGGTTATTTAGGAATATGTTGTTTGATTTCTATGTGTCCTTCTGTTAACTGATTTCTAGTTTAATTTCATTATGGTCCAAGAACATATTTTATGTGATTTCTTTTAAATTTGTATTTTGCTGTTTTGAATGGAAAAAACAAAACAAAACAGTTGCCATCGAGTCTAGTCCTACTCATGGTGACCCCATGTGTATCACAGTAGAACTGTGCTCCGTAGGTTTTTTTTTTAATGGCTTATTTTTCAGAAGTGGATCATCAGGCCTTTATTCCAGGGCACCTCTGGTTGAACTCGAACGTCCAACCTTTCAGTTAGCAGACGAGCTTGTTAACCACTTGCACCATCCAGGAACTGGTTTTGGATGAAGTGGTCTATAAATGTCAATTAGGTCCTTACCGATTTTCTGCCTGCTAATTACCGAGAGAGGAGTGTTGAAGTCTCCAACTATAATTGTGGATTTTTCTGTTTTTTCTTTCAGTTGTATCTTTTGTGTCAGGTGTTTTGAAGCTCAGTTGTTAGGTGCATACACATTTAGGATTGTTGTATTTCTTTGGGAATTGACTTATTATTATTATTTAATGTCCCTTTTCATTCTTGGTAATATTCCTTGTTCTGAAGTCTACTTTGAGAGAATAGATAATTTAAAACTTCCATGGTAAAGTAAATTTGCAAGAGTAGGACACTTAGAATTACTAATGATACTCAATAGTTATTCTGATGTATTTTCTTTAGGTTGGAACATTACGATTTTGTGGAAAAACTGAATTTGCAAGTGGGCAGTGGGCTGGCGTTGAATTGGATGAACCAGAAGGAAAAAACAATGGAAGTGTTGGAAAAGTCCAGTACTTTAAATGTGCCCCCAAATATGGTAAGGTAGATATTATTTAAATTAATAAGAAATAATTTAAAACAAATTTTACTCTTTTATCATTTTTAGCTAAAACTTTTATCCTGGTTCCCTGTGTAATAAATGAAGGAGATGTGAATTTAGGGAGGCTTTTTAAAGATAGGAGATGTTACATCCTGTCTATATACACTGATGAGAATAATAGAGAGGAGAAATTGATGTTGCAAGAGAGAGAGGGGATAATTGGAAGAGGAAAGTCCTTAAAAAGTGAAGAGGGGATGGAATCCAGTGCACAGGTGTAGGGGTTATCCTTGTGTTAGGTCAGGCACAGCTTACCCACCCCTATTTAAGGAGAGAAATGGTTGAAGATGAGGTAATTCACTTTTAATTATTTCTAGTTTCTTAGAATATAAAAAGTGAGGCCGTTAGTTGATAATTGGAGTGGGAAGTGTGGTTGGAGGTTTGGTGAGAGAGGGGAAGGTGTGAAATACTCATCTGAGAGAGTGGGGATGTGAATAGTTCAGGGAGACATAGCAGATAGCCAAGCATTGCTAAGGACCCATTTGAGACTGTGATCATAAAGTAAGACCAGTTTGTGTGATTTTCTCCAGTCATATTAAACTTTTTGGGTTTAGGTACCGAGTAGGAAAAGAGTTGGGTTTCACCAAGGCTAGTGTTATTTCTGGAGTGTACAACAGAAGGACAGAGGCAAAGAAGTTGAGGATGTATACAAGGCTGTGATTAGAATGATGGATCATGGAATTTAAGGTAGGTAAGGAGGAAAATCTCTCACATGTCTGTCAGTTTGTCGTACTCTGGGGGCTTATGTGTTGCTGTGATGCTGGAAGCTATGCCACTGGTATTCAAATATCATCAGGGTCACCCATGGCGGGCAGGTTTCAGTGGAGCTTCCAGATTAAGACACACTAGGAAGAAGGACCTGCTGTCTAATTCTGAAAAGAATTAGCCAGTGAAAACCTTATGAATAGCAGCGGAACATGTCTGATATAGTGCTGGAAGATGAGCCCCTCAGGTTGGAAGACACCTGAAAGATGACTGGGGAAGAGCTGCCTCCTCAAAGTAGAGTCGACCTTAATGATGTGGATGGAGTCAAGCTTTCAGGACCTTCATATGCTGATGTGGCACAACTGAAAATGAGAAAAAAAAAAACAGCTGCAAACATCCATTAATAATTGGAATGTGGAATCTACAAAGTGTGAATCTAGGAAAATTGGAAATCGTCAAAAATGAAATGGAACACATAAACATCGATATCCTAGGCATTAGTAAGCTGAAATGGGCCGATATTGGCCATTTTGAATCAGACAATCATGTCGTCTACTATGCTGGCAATGATAACTTGAAGAGGAATGGCGTTGTGTTCATCATCAAAAAGAGTATTTTAAGATCTATCTTAAAGTACAACGCTGTCTGTAACAGGATGATATTGATACTCCTACAAGGAAGACCAGTTAATACAACTATTATTCAAATATATGCACCAACCACTAAGGCCAAAGATGAAGAAATAAAAGATTTTTACCAGCTTCTGCAGTCTGAAATTGATCAAACATGCAATCAGGATGTGTTGATAATTATTGGTGATTGAAATAACGAGAATTGGAAACGAAGAAGGATAGGTAGTTGGAAAATATGGCCTTGGTGATAGAAACTATGCTGGAGATCACATGATAGAGTTTTGCAAGACCAGTAACTTAATTGCAAATACCTTTTTCAACAATGTTTTTAAGTGGCGACTATACACATGGACCTCACCAGAGGGAATACACAGGAATCAAATCAACTGCGTTTGTGGAAAGAGACAGTGGAAAAGCTCAATATCATCAGTCAGAGCAAGGCCAAGGGCTGACTGTGAAATAGACCATCAATTCCTCATATGCAAGTTCAAATTGAAGCTGAAGAAAATTAAAACAAGTCCACGAGAGCTGAAGTACGACCTTGAGTATATCCCACCTGGATTTAGAAACCATCTCAAGAATAGATTTGATGCGTTGAACACTAATGACCGAAGACCAGACAAGTTGTGGAATGACATCAAGGACATCACACATGAAGAAAGCAAGAGGTCATTAAAAAGACAGGAAAGAAAGAAAAGACCAAAATGGATGTCAGAAGAGACTCTCAAACTTGCTCTTGAATGATGAGTAGCTAAAGCAAATGGAAGAAATGATGAAGTAAAAGAGCTGAACAGAATATTTCAAAAGGCAGCTTGAGAAGACAAAGTAAAGTATTATAATGATATGTGCAAAGACCTGGAGTTAGAAAACCAAAAGGGAAGAACATGCACAGCATTTCTCAAGCTAAAGAAAAAAATTCAAGCTTTGAGTTGCAATATTGAAGGATTCTACGGGGAAAGTATTAAATGATGCCGGAAACATCAAAAGAAGATGGAAGGAATACACAGAGTCACTATACCAAAAAGAATTGGTCCGTGTTCAACCATTTCAGTAGGTAGAATATGATCAGGAACCAGTGGTACTGAAGGAGGAGGTCCAAGCTGCAGTGAAGGCATTGTCGAAAAACAAGGCTCCAGGAATTGATGGAATACCAATTGAGATGTTTCAACAAATGGATGCAGCACTGGAAGTGCTTACTCATCTATGCCAAGAAATTTGGAAGACAGCTACCTGGCCAGCCGACTGAAAGAGATCCATATTTATGCCTATTCCCAAGAAAGATGATCCAACTGTATGTGGAAATTATCGAACAATATCATTAACATCACACACAAGTAAAATTTTGCTAAAGATCATTCAAAAGCGGCTGCAGCAGTACATCGACGGGGAACTGCCAGAAATTCAGGCCAGGTTCAGAAGAGGACATGGAACGAGGGATATCATTGCCAATGTCAGATAGATCCTGGCTGAAAGCAGAGACTACCATAAAGATGTTTACCTGTGTTTTATTGACTATGCAAAAGCATTTGACTGTGTAGATCTTAAAAAATTTTGGATAACATTGAGAAGAATGGGAATTCCAGAACACTTAATTGTACTCATGAGGAGCCTGTACGTAGATCAAAGGGCTGTCATTCAAACAGAACAAGGGGCTACCTCATGGTTTAAAATCAGGAAAGTTGTGCATCAGGGTTGTATCCTTTCACCTTACTTTTTCAGTCTGTATGCTGAGCAAGTAATCTGAGAAGCTGGACTATATGAAGAAGAATGGGGCATCAAGATTGGACAAAGACTCATTAAAAACCTGTGTTGCATGGATGACACGACCTTGCTTGCTGAAAGTGAGGGGATTTGAAGCACTTACTGATGAAGATCAAAGACTACAGCCTTCAGTATGGATTGCATTTCAACATAAAGAAAACAAAAATCCTCACAACTGGACCACTAAGCAGAATCATGATAAATGGAGACAAGATTGAAGTTGTCAAGGATTTTGTTTTACTTGGATCCACAGTCAACACCCACGGAAGCAGCAACCAAGAAATCAAATGACACAGTGCATTGGGCAAATCTGCTGCAAAAGACCTCTTTAAAGTGGTAAAAAGCAAAGATGTCACCTTGAAGACTAAGGTGCGCCTGACCCAAGCCGTGGTGTTTTCAATCACCCTTATTTGCATGTGAGAGTTGGACAATGAATAAGGAAGACCAAAGAATTGATACCTTTGAATTATGGTGTTGGTGAAGAATATTGAATATACCATGGACTGCCAGAAGAATGAACAAATCTGTTCTGGAAGAAGTACAGCCAGAATGCTTCTTAGAAGCGAGGATGGCAAAACTTCATCTCACATACTTTGGACATGTTATCAGGAGGGACCAGTCCGTGGAGAAGGACATCAGGCTTTGTAAAGTAGAGGGTCAGTGAAAAGAGGAAGACCCTCAATGAGATGGATTGACACAGTGGCTGCAACAATGAGCTCAAGCGTAACAACAGTTGTGAGGACGGTGCAGGACTGGACAGTGCTTCATTCTGTTGAGGGTAGGGTTGCTATGAGTCGGAACTGACTCTAAGGCATCTAACAAAAATGACAATAACGAGGAATATGAGGACATAAAGGGGATGATGGACAGGGGAAAAGTGATAGGATCAGTGGTTCCTGATGAGTTGAAAAGTTGAGAAGGGGGTTCCAGAGTAAGTGATCTAAAATGATAGGAAATGGTAGATGCTTTAAATACATATTTTAGAGGTGGAGAAACTATTGGTAATAGTAAATCTAGGCTAAGTATGATCCTGGCTGGCTGAATTAGGGTAGAGGGAAAGATCATCAGACATCAAGTGATCAAGGAACTGATAGGCTAGGGTGTTAGATGTATCATCTGTGTGGATGTTGAAGTCACCATGAGGGAAGACAGGACTAGTGGAGGAAGAAAGGGCAGAGAGTCAGCCAGGTGCTGAAATTTTCACTGAGTGAGTGAGTGACCAAGACTTTGCCTGGTGGCTTCCAAAAGGAAAGATTCAGGTAGGATAGTCAGTCTGATGGCATGTTCTTCAAAGCAGCTGGTTTTAATTTTTTTTATACATAAATTTTTTTTTTTACTGTACTTTTTTTTTTTATATTTTATTGTACTTCAGGTGAAGGCTTACAGAACAAACAGTTTCTCATGAAACAGTAGTACACATGTTGTTTTATGACATTGGTTAACAACCCCACAACATATCAACCCTCTAACTTCTCAACCCTTTTTTTTTTACTGTACTTTAGATGAAAGTTTACAGAACAAATAGTTTCTCATTAAACAGTCAGTACACATATTGTTTTATGACATTGGTTAACAACACCGTGACATGTCAACACTCTCACTTCTCGACCTTGGAGGACTTTTTTTTTTTTGGTGAAAATATACATAGCCGAAGTTATACTATTTCAAAAGTTTCTACATATACAATTCAGTGACATCAACTACATTCTTCCAGTTGTGCTGCTATTCTCACTATCCTTTCCCAAATTATTCCATCACCATTATCTTCAACTCACTGCCCCCTAGGCTTCCCATCAAACCTTTTGAGTTGCTGTTGTCAGTTTGATCTCACATAGATAATTA